GCAATTTGATCACTTGCCAGTTCGTCCCCCCCGTCTTCGACCTTCTCAGACGTAATCGACGACCCCGACCCGACAATTCTGCCCAACCAGTTTTGTGAACTGATTTACTTATGCAGACCGACCTACGAACCCTAAGCTGTAACTAACCAAGTATCTTTGACCTCCGTCTTTCACCACCTTGATGGAGTAAGTAAATAATCTTGCTTTGCAACCGATAAGCATCCGCCTAATTAATTCCACTCCATACGTCACAAGTACCCACCTGACGAACCCTTAACTGCCCGGGTGGGAGTCAGGGAGAGCTGCTGGCCAGCTGCCCTGGGTCCCGACAGAAAGGACCTCATGGCTTCATCCACACGTGGTGTGGATGGTTGGTTCCCCGGGGATGCCTGTGCGATACGCGCTTTGGCACATGGCAGGTTACTCTGGGTGGGGTAGGGGAGGTTGGTGCCACTGCTGGGCTGGACCTAGTAGCATTACCTGGGGTCCTGGAGGCCTCCTGGGGCTGCAGCAGTAGTGATTCTGCTGTGTGGAGCCTGGCCAGTAGTCACAGCACAGCTCTGGGCAGCCCAGCTCTGCTTTTGAGCAGCGTGTGCTGCCTGTGTATGCACTGCTGCAGTAGTGATTCTGCTGTGTGGAGCCTGGCCAGTAGTCACAGCACAGCTCTGGGCAGCCCAGCTCTGCTTTTGAGCAGCGTGTGCTGCCTGTGTATGCACTGCTCCACTTTTTTTTTCTTGGGTTTTTTGACCCCAGGGGTAAAAAAAAAAAACCATGGAAAAAAATGTGGAGCAGCACATGTACAGGCAGCACTTTGCAGCGTGGAGAACATCTGAATGCGTGGTATGTGGCACCACAGTCATGTTTGTGGCACCACATACCATACAGCCACGTTCCTCTGGATGCGGCCCATGAGGTCATTTAGTCCAGCCCCCTGCTCAAGGCAAGATCCCTAACTAATGTATGTCCAATCTGCTCAAAATTTCCAAAGATGGAGAGTCCACAATTTCTCTAGGTAGAGAGAGACAAAAGCTTTTTTAGTTCAGGTCAAAGAAAATATTTTGTTTGATTCCCAAAATCCCATTTTTTTCTTTGCCTTTGCAATTTGACCAAAAAAAAATTGTATGTTAACATGAAACAATATTGCGGGGGGAGTGATTAGAACATTCAGTAAATCGTAATAACATGATCTACTTAGAAGTTTCATAAGCATTCATGAAAATTTTGCCCTCCGTCCTTGAGGGTTTGGTGGACAAGCAGTGAAGGCATTTGGCCAGAACCATATACCAGTATTCAGCACTAGACTTGTGCTAAAGGCTGGCCCTTTCAACCACCCTGTGAACAAGTATCCAGTCATTTCAGCTGGAGAGTTAAACTCAGTTGGATATGATGACAACCATATTCCTTCCTTGTGAGCTTTTGGTTACAGAAACTGGAGTCTTAACCATGCTAGCCTGATGGGTTATTAAGGCCCAGGGCAGACTTTTGATCCATGAAATCCCTACAAGGTTTTATACAGATTAAAAAAAAAAACCACTGGTTAAAAACAAAAATCACCTTCAACACATGGGCAAGACCTGAGCAAGAACACACAAGACATAGGATGAAGCAGCATTTTACTGACTACCGAGCCCCGATACTTGCCAGAGACAGGACTAGAAAGACTGGCTTTGCTCCGATGAGCACCCACGAGCCATGTTTGGATTCTTCTCATTTGTACATTCAGTGCTTGTGATCCCCTCCAGCTCCACAGCTCATGGGCGTGTCCAGTGCCCTTCCAAGGGAGCAGATGTGTGAATGGAGAAAGCAGAAGGTAGATGTGAAGGGGCTGGCCAGCTCCCTGTCAGTTCCTTTTGCTGGGAAAAGGACCTGGAGCATGGGAAGGTGTGACAGGTAGCTAAACGTTCCTTGCTTTGTAACCCCAAACCCTACTGGAATCTATTTTCACTCATCTTGCCCTTAAAAGACCACCCCATCTTCCCAAACACAAATGACTTGGGCTCCAAAAAAATGAGAACACACTGCCTCCAACCCTCATATTTCCAAGAAGTACAACCCTGCCCCAGGTAATCTTAAGAGGGGCAGTGGTCATGGAAAGAGCTGTGACACTCAGTTTAGTGGCAACAGTGTATTCCAGTGTCTAGTTCTTGGCCTGCACCTTTGTGTGTGGAGAGTGCTCTCCAGCTGATGTTCATGCAGGTTTCTTCAGCAGGGAAGAGTTGAGAGACAGCTGAGAACACAAATTTCAAACATAGGAAATTGTTTCTTTTCCTCAGTGGGAATCCTCTTCTGCTGTTTTCCACTCATCTTTTGCCTCTCCTGAGCTGGCAGGTCTCTTCAGTCTCCTGCTGGAGGATGCCCCTCATCCACCTGGCCTTGTCTGCCCAGCAGATCACTTCCTCCTCAACCCCTCCACCTTGTTTTTATAGATGCAAACATGAGGCAAGGTAGGGGCTGCCAGGTGAACCTCAACCTAGGGGTCAGAAAGGGTCTCCATGGCTTTACATTTCTAGGGTAGAGGGGCCACACTGCCAGCCCTCAAACCTGTAGCAACTTTGCCAATGTCCTTCTGTAGCATCTAGGCAGACTGTATGAATTTGTGGGGAGACATCTCCTTCCACAGTCCGAGTACAGCAGACTGACCAGACCTTGTCCAGAGTGGTGTGGGAGATAGGTCGTCATGTGAATGCAAAGGCAGGAACTGAAATGCACTGGCAGCAACACTGGGATCTTGATACCACCCAGTGTGTGACTACCATGGAAGGAACTCAGAGGAAACAACAGCAAATCCTGTTGGTACCCGCACTAGAACACAATGATCCAAGTCACCCCCGTTCAGGAAATATTTAATCCAAGAGCAGATTCACAGTGGGGCTCCTAGGATGACCAGAGGAATGGAGAGTTGATTTTCTGAGAGGAGACTAGAGGAATTTGACTTATTCCATCTGGCAAAACAAAGAGAGAGACTGTTCTCCCCAAATACATTGGAGGCAAACACCAGGGAATGACAAAGGCCATTGGAGCCAAAGCGCAATGCTGGCACCAGCATGGATGGGATGAATTGGGCATGACTACATTTCTGTATTGGAACTGTGAAGAAGGCTTCCAACTCCTGGAGCAGGGAGCTGCCTTGCAATCTGTTGAAGGGAAAAACCTAACCATTCTTTTAAGGTGGACCTTGTTAAATTTATGAGCAGGCTCATATGACACAGTGCTTATGACAGCAGGAGACTGGACCTGAAGAGCCAGAAGCAGTGATCCTGTGCTCCTCTCATCTCCTTCCATGTAAGCATTCCCAGGTGTCACTCATGGTTAGAACACCTTTGGACAGAGCAGTCACTAGCAACCCTTTAATATACACAATCAGAATGCTATTCTGTGTTTTATTATTTGATATTAAACACTATTTATTCTGCCCTTAAATCTCTTTGTATGCCCCTGCACTTCAGCTGAATGGCAATGAATTGATTTGTACGTGCTGTTAGGGGGGGAAGGGGCAGGGAAACTGGGAGATCTGGGAGCTGGAGGGACAGTTTGAGCTCATGGGACAAGCATGAGGTGGGCATTGCTGACAATACCAACAGCGTGGTAGTTAATGATGTCACCATTTAAGCAGTTACCAAAAAGTTTCAGAGTGAATAACCTGGAATAATGAATGGCGCAGTTCATGCTCCTTCTGCAGCCAATTTTAGGCTGGCTGCAGACTTGGGCAGGCATCTGTTTTATGTCAACATTTTGCAACCTTACAGCCATATAGTTATTGGTTGATAGAAGGACCATATGCAGAGTGAGTGGTGGGTTTTATGGCCAAGGAATAGCTGGAATGCTGCCTCATGTCTGCCTCTGAACTCCTCCAATAAACCAGGAGCTGCTGGAGGGATGAGATTTACTACCTGCCATGTGCCTAGTTCCATTCTCACTCCAGTGAGCCCTCACTCCATGCTCACTCCAGGGACCTGAGATGGCTCCTGATTAAGGTGTCCCAATGGTTCTGCAGTCATGGTTTGGAGAGACTTTCTACTAGGGGTGACAGTAAGGCTCCTGATAGGGGGCAACCCTATCAAGGCTGAATTAGAGGCTCATGAGGGCACTCAGCGGGCATCTCTGGAAACTTGCAAGGAGGCTGAGCCCACAGAAGAAGCACCCTCCTTTAGAGATAAGAGGAGGATGGCCCCCAAGCCTGCTGGCCAGAATGCATCTATCAGGTGCAAAGGATGTGGATACCTGGTGCCCCAAACACCTCCCTGGACCAGGTCTAGGAAGTCTTTTCCTTCCAGAGGGTTGTCAGGCTCCCTCCCAGGCTAGTTTGGTTGGTAGGTGGTCAGCAGAGTCTCCCCCTGGCAAATTCCCAGCACTGCTGGGCCCTTCTCCTTAGGCTGTGTGAGTTGGAATGGACCCATCTCCAGAAGGGTCTCCCTTCCAGGCTGGGTGGGTGGGGAGAGGGCTTTCTGTGGCAGAGTCCCCCTTCCAGGCTGTGATGGCACCTTCTGCACCTGGGTCTCCTTTCCATGTTGGGTGGGCAGCCATGGTGCCTTCTGTGGCAGTGGGATCCCCCTTCCATGCTGTGTGGCTGGGGATCGTGCCCTCAGCAGCTGGGTCCCCCTTCCAGGTGGCCACAACAGCACCCTCTCCTGTATCAGGCTTCTCCTTCCAGGTCACGGTCCCACTGGCCCCATCAGCCTCTCCCCCCTTCCAGGCTGTGTGTGTGGCTACATGGCGCTCTAGCAGGGTGCGGTGGGAGAAGTACTTGTTGCAAATGCAGCACTGGAAGCGTTCAGGGCGGTGTGTGCGCATGTGGACATTCAAGGAGCTCTTCTGAGTGAAGCGCTTGCAGCAAATGGAGCACTGGAAGGCCCTGACACCTGTGTGCGTCACCATGTGCTTCAGCAAGTAGTCCCGCAGTGAGAAGGAACGCCAGCAGATAGAGCACTGGTGGGGTTTCTCACCTGCAACAAAAGATAGCAGTCAGCTTTGTGGCACTGAGCCCACAGTCCCTGATGCCTGCTTCAGTCATAATGCTGTACCCCTCTCATGCCTCCAGATGCCTTTGCCACGATGCCACAGCCTAGTCCTGGGGCCCTACACCTCAGGTCCCTGCTGCCCCATCTCAGCTGCAATACTGCACCCGAGTCCTGGTGTTTTCTGCCTGACACTGCACCCTGGCCCTGGTTCCCCATGTGTCTGCTGCAAGGCTGCAGCCTGGGTCTCAGTTTCCCACATCACAGGCCCCCAAAAGAAATGAACCATTTATCAGAAACCAGCCTGGATGCTCCTCTCAAGAAGGGACTCCCCCCCTACAGCCTGGGGTGACCCTGCCTGGAGTCTGTGCACCTTCACCCCAAATCCTTTCCTCTATGTGGATCTGGGGAGACCTTGATTGGGATCCCTCAGGAGAGAGGAGCCAGACTCTCTAAATTAGTACAGCGCAGAGGCCTGGAAAATGGGAATAACTGGAAAGACCTTCTCAGACAAGCACAGACACCTGCTGATGGCAGAGAGCAGTGATGCATCACCAGGATGGAGTCCCATCGCTGCCTGGTAATGCCGGTGTCACTGGGACACAGCCCCAGGTCATACTGACACTGCAAAACCTAGGCATTTCCCTCCTACCCCATGGGCTATTTTGCCTCTTGTGCTCCATGGCAAGAGGAGCTATAAAACTGCTCACAGCTCTCAGAACTACTCCCTGCTTGAAGCTCTCTAGATCAGGCCCCTCCTTCTCCCCCCACACAACTCCATGAACATGAATCAACCCCACGCCCTCCCCAAGCACTGCTTCTACCTCTGCCTCTGCTTCAGTGTCTTCATGCACATTTGGGCTCTAGGACCTTTGTTCCTGCTCTGTGGACAAGAAATCTCCAGTGCAGGAAAGAGCTGTAACTCACTGCAGGCACTAGCTTCTTTTTAGAACAGATCCATAGCAGACATTAAAATGGTTATACAATTGGGATTTGAAGAACCAGGCCAGATGAGCATGGCAGAAAGTGTGATTTTTGGGGTCAGAGATAAAATTCCTCACATCTCAGTTACATAACTGTGGAGTGGAGAGCCCAGGTTTGGGGAACAGGTTATCTGATGTAAGGCTGCATTGGTGCAACTTTCAATGGCAGGGATCTGGGGCTGCTTCCAGGGATTGGCTTGGGGAGAGTCCTGGGCCTTGGAGTTGAGACCTGGTGCAGCCTCTGGGGATTAGTCAGGGACAGCCCCAGGTTCCACTGGAAGCATGCAGTTGGAGAGTGGGGAACTTTATAGCTCCTAGCTACAAGGTGGCCAAGTGGTGAAGGCTGTAGCCTACTAATCCAGTGTGTGCTACATGCATGGGTTTGAATCCCATCCTTACCTTTTGTAGGGGGAGAGGAGTCCAGGAAAACTGGCTGTACTTTAAAGAAGCCTTACTGAGAGTGCAAGATCCTGATGCACACGAAGACTAGCAAGTATGGCAGAAGACCAGCTTGGTTTAGCAGGGAATTCTTTTGTAAACTAAATCACAAAAAGGAGGCTTATAAGTGGAAAGTTGGACAAATAACTAGGGAAGAATATAAAAGCATTGCATGGGCATGCAGGGATGAAGTCAGGAAGACCAAAGCACAATTGGAGCTGCAGCCAGCAAGGGATGTGAAGGATAACAGGAAGGGTTTCTACAAGTATGTCAGTAGCAAGAGGATGATCAGGGAAAGTGTAGGTCCTTTATTGAATGGGGGAAGCAACTTCAACAGAGGGTGCAGAAAAGGCTGAAGTGCTCAGTGCCTTTTTTAACTTAGTCTCACAGGCAAGGTCAGCTCACAGACTACTGCACTGGGAAGCACAATTTGGGTGGGGAAGTGAGCAGTCCTCAGTGTTGAAAGAACAGGTTAGGGACTACACAGAAAAGCTGGACGTGTACAAGTCCATAGGGCCAGATGGGATGCACCCAAGGGTGCTGAGGGAGTTGGCTGATGTGACTGCCACTGGCCATCATCTTTGAAAAATCATGGCAGTTAGGAGAAGTCCCAGATGATTGGAAACAGGCAAATATAGTGCCCATCTTTAAGAAAGGAAAAAAAGGAGATTCCAGGGAACTACAGACCAGTCAGCCTCACCTCAGTCCCTAGAAAAATCATGGAGCAGAACCTCAAGGAATCCATTTCTAAGCACTTGGAGGAGAAAAAGGTGATTAGGAACAGTCAGTATGGATTCACTGGGACATGTCATGCCTGACCAACCTGATTTCCAATGTGGGGAGATTGGTGGATGTGGTATACCTTGATTTTTGCAAGGCTTTTGATACAGTCTCCCATAACCTTCTCCCAGGCAAGCTAAGGAAGTATGGGCTGGATGAATGGGCTGTAAGGTGGACAGAAAACTGGCTAGAGCATTGGGCTCAGAGAGTAGTAATCAATGACTTGATGTCTAGTTGGCAGCCAGTATCAAGTGGAGTGCCCCAGGGGTCAGTCCTTGGGCTCGTTTTGTTGAATGTCTTCAGCAATGACCTGGAAGATGGCATAGAGTGCACCCTCAGCAAGTCTGGCAGATGACACCAAGCTGGGGGGAGTAGCAGATACGGTGGAGGGTAGGGCTAGTACTTAGAGCGACCTAGACAAATTGAAGGATTGGGCCAAAAGGAATCTCATGAGTTTCACCAAGGACAAATGCAACATTCTGCACTTAGGACAGAACAATCCCATGCACCGACGCTGGGGGCTGACTGGCTGGGCAGAAATTCTTCAGAAAAGGACCTGGGGATTACAGTGGATAAAAGCTGAATATGAGCCAACAGTGTGCCCTTGTGGCCAGGAAGGCTAATGGCATACTGAGCTGCATTGGTAGGTGTGTTGTCAGTAGCGCAAGGGAAGTGATTATTCCCCTCTATTCAGCCCTGGTGAAGCCACATCTGGAGTACTGTAGTTTTAGGCCCCCCACTACAGAAAGGATGTGGACAAATTGGAGAGAGTCCAGAGGAGGGCAACAAAAATGGTAAGGGGGGTGGGGGATATGACTTATGAGGAAAGACTGAGGGAACTGGACTTTAGTCTAGGGAAGAGGAGACTGAGAGGGGACTTAATAGCAGTCTTCAACTACCTGAAGGCAGGTTTGAAAAGGATGCAGCTAGACTGTTCTTAGTGGTGGCAGATGATAGAAAAAGGAGCAAATCTCAAGTTGCAGCAAGGGAAATTTAGGTTAGATATTAGGAAGAGTTTTCTCACTAGGAGGGTAGTAAAACACTGGAACAGGTTACCAAGAGAGGTGGTGGAAGCTCCATCCTTGGAGGTTTTGAAGCCCAGGCTAGACAAAGCTTTGGCTGGGATGATCTAGTTGGGGATGGTCCTGCTTTGAGCAGGGGGTTGGATTAGATGACCTCCTGAGGTCCCTTCCAAACTTAACTTTCTATGATTCTATACCTGCACACTGGCTGTACACGTCCTGGACTTGTACCTTCCACACTGTGGCACATTCAGTTAGGCATCATGGAGCCTACTTTCCCTTGCTACAGACCCCATATAAGCCTCCACACCCTGTCTTTAAATGTCTGTGCAGGGGGAACCTATAGGCTCCCCATACAGGCTATTTAAAACCACAGCATACAGCCTGATGGTGCATGCCACATGTTCAAATCTATGAGCAATACAAACAAACCACAAATATGGTTACAACTTTGCTGAATGTGTGGCATGTTGCAATCTGTGGCATGATAAACATATACCACACTATAAGTGTAATGTCTTCCAGGTGCCATATGCCTCTGTGACCAGATGTCCTGGGTAGGGAGCAAATTCCCCTTCCACTCCAGGAGAACAATGGGGCAGTGTCTGTAGCCTCAGACTCCAATGCCCAAATCAGTAGTTCTCAACCATTTTAGATGCAAGGTGCCCCTTATTAGATTCAAGGCAACTCTTGAAAAGTGCCAGGTTTTAGCTTTCACTTGTTTCTTGACTACAGAAAAATAACAGCAATTATTCCGTTGCAAAGAACTCAGAAAGACCATAAGAGGTCAGAATGTCCTAATTGACAGTAAGGTTTCTTGTTTGAAATCTGTGCGTTTATCGTAAGAATCATGTGTACGTGTCTGCACACCTAACAGTGCTAATATTGTGTAGTGTCTTTAGAAGGATCACATGGCATCTAGGATGCCAAGGCACCCTACTTGAGAATCACTGACCCAGACTCTTCCCACTGAATGGAGACAGGGAGTAAGGGGTATCTCCCCCTGACCTGTCCCCAAGGGTCCATGCCCCTTGGAAGCCCCAGAGGGACCAACACCTGCCCCTCACCTGAATGGATGAACATGTGCTTGGTGTAGTTCTTGCGGGAGCTGAAGGTTTTCTGGCAGTGGCTGCACTGGTACGAGGGCTCAGGGCAGCGTGAAGGCCCGGGACGCTGGGCCTGGTCACTGTGTAGGGTCCCTGTTACCATGGTGCCTGGGCTCAGTTGCACCATGCTGTTGGCAGCACCCGTTTCTGGCTGGACACTGTAGAAGCTTTGGGCCACACCTGGTTGTGGCAGGTGGAACTGGAAGATGCTTGTGGTGGTGGTGCTGGGCCCTGCCCCTGCTGCAGCAGCCACACTGACCTCGGCCTTCAGCTCCCGCTGGATGCCCAAGCCAGAGACAAAGGCCATGCTGCGGGGTTCAGGGGCCCGGGCTGTGAAGCCTGCAGGGGCTGGCTTAAAATCTCCTGCCAGGGTCCTCATGTTGGAGGCCTCAAGGCTGCAGTCAGAGTGAAACTTCTCACCATCCCGTGAAGCTGCTGCTGCCCCCTCGCTGCCATCCTCACTCTGCCAGGTTGGGATGAATGACTCGGAGAAGACATCCTGACCGCTGAAGAAGTCCTGCCCCTCAACAGGGGTGTAGTCCAACTGGACACTGTCCTTCCTGGCTGTGCCCCCACCCCCACCCCCAGGGTCCTCGGCACTGCGCATTTTGGCCTCGCCACAGCTGGGAAATGCCCCGCCACCACCACACTCACTGAAGCAGCTCAGCTTGTTGCCCCCAGCTTCCTCTTCTTCCTCATTGTCCTCTTCCTCTTCATCCTTGATGATGACGGGTAGTGTGTCTGAGAGTTGCAGCCTCACTGGCTGGCGCTGTTTGCGGCTGTGACAGCTGGGCTGCACCTCAGAGGGATGAAGGCCCACATATGGACCTTCCCCATCGCTGCCAGCTGCTGCCAGCTCTCCCTCTGAGGCTGGCCGCTCCCTGCCTTCCCCCAGCTGCCTCTGCTGAGAGGAGAGCAGGTCACGAAGTTTGTAGCGCACTTCAGAGGCACAGAGCAGCTTAGGGGCTTCCAGCTGGGGAGCCCCAGGAGGCTCCATCTCATTGGGTCGGGAGGAGGAGGGGCAAGAATCACGCAGGAGAGCCACAGTGCCTGGGCTATCCTTGGACTGCTCCTGGGATTTGGCAGTTGGCACCCTGGGCATAGCGAGAGACATGGAGGGGGCAGCAGGAGGGGGTTTTGGGCTACGGCTCTGTGAGATGATCTGGGTGCATTCATCAATAACTGTCTTTATCTGGAGGATGGAGGCGGCTGTGAGGATCTGCAGGGCCTCAGACTGGGCCACCACCAGGGAGCCACTGTACATAAACTCCACCAGCTGCTGCACCACCTGGCTGGGTACCACAGGGGGCACCTCTATTTCTGAGTAGCCCAACAGCAGCTTGTCATGGAAAAAGGGGCTGCCAGCAGCCAGCACACAGCGGTGGGCCCGGAGCGTAGCCTCATGGATGTGCACTGTCACATCACAGAAGTGCCCGCCCAGGCGCTGCCCATTCAGTGTCTCCAACAGGGACTTGCTGAAGTTCTGCAGGTGGATGTAGTGGACAGCTTCAGCCATTGTTGCTCTGGCAGGCTGAGAGGAGGTTTCAGGGGCACACGTCAGTGAAAACAAATAGAAAAGTGTTCAGAAGGCAGCTTCAGGACTTGCTGGAGAGTAGACACACATCAGAGATGTATATGGCTGCTTAGGCCTGAGGAGTGGTATCCATATCACAAGCAATCGCTTTGAGCAGAGGGCCTTCAAGGGAGTTCATAAACAAGGATGTGCTTCTTGTAAGACCTGAGAGAGAAAGACATGAAACTAACAAAACTCCCTTCTCATTTTAGCCATACTCCACTCTTGTCTGAATTGCTCCCACTCCCAGCCTGTCCCCACAAAAATCCTTTTTAAGGAATGTCCATGCACTCAGCTCACATAGGGCAAGGATATGTTGAGGTTCAAAAGGGTCAAAGAGCAATTTTTATGGGAAGGAGTGAGAGGTGTCTGAAAAGGGCTGTGGCCACAGTGAGTCTTGGGTGGTGAAAAGATTAATAAAAATACTAATTCTTACCTCTCAAAAGGTCTGCAAATATGAGAAATGTGTGCTGGTTTAACTTAAGTTGTGAACTGAAACCATTGCAGCTACTCCTCAGGATATCCCTTTGATCTTAGCATAGAGTATCTTAGCATAAAGCAATCTGTTATTAGTTGAGTTTATTTTGCCTTGGAAAGTGCTTAACCCAAACTGAAAAGGGTAATTCTTATACTAGAATTAAAGTGTCCACCCAGAACATAATGTTCCAGATTATGTTCTAAACGTAAGGTGCTGTACCCTAGGGAACATAATCAAAAAAAAAACAAACCCAAAATGGATGACACCTGGCTGAATGGCAGCACTATGGAGAAGGATCTGGGAGTCTTTGTAGATCAGACTCAGTATGAGTATGCAATGTGATGCTGCTGCACAAAAGGCAAATGCAGTTTTGGGATGCATCAACAGATGCATGAGGTGCAAGACATGGGAGGTGATAGTGCCTCTCTACTCAGCACTGGTTAGGCCTCATCCACAGCACTGCATGTAGTTTTGGGCTCTACATTATGAAAAAGGACATGGAAAAGCTAGAGAAGGTCCAGAGGCAGGTGACAAAGAAGATACGGACTTTGGAAAGCAAGTTGTATGAGGAGAGGATGAAGGAGCTCAGCATAGTCAACTTGCAGAAAAGATGCTTAAGAGGGACAACCTTCAAATACTCAAAGGGCTGCCATAAAGAAGACAGAAAACACCTTTTCTCTCTTGCTGCAGAGAGTAGGTTATGCATCAGTGGCTTGAAGTTCCAGCAAAGTAGGTTTAGATATCAGAAAAAACTTCATCACTGTTAGAACAATGAGGCAGTGGACTAGACTGCCTAGGGAAGTTGTAGACTTGCCATCACTAGGGGCGTCCAAGAAGATATTGGACAGCCACTTAGGGACAATCTAGGTGTAGCTATGCCTATGGTCTACTAGGGGTATATCCTATGCTTTTGGCCTTTGCTGGTTGCCACATGGGGCCAGAAGGGAACTGTCTCCCTGCTACGTGTGTCAGGGTTTTTTAAAGCCTTCCTCAGAGGCACTGGGTACTGGCTACAGCCAAGGCTGGAGGTTTTGACTATGGTGTGCCAATGCTCCTGCTGGCAGAGGTTCCTGGCTAGAGGGTCTTGGCTGTCTGCTATGGGGCAGACTGATCCTTTATTTGGGGTCAGGAAGGTATTTTACTCCACAGTCAAATTGGTATAGACTATGGAGGCTTTTGCCTTTCTCTGTAGCAGGGGGCATGGCCCTCTTCTAGGGATCTCTTAAGCATATTTTAACAATCTTTTATAGAAATAGGACATTGGCTGCTGTGGTGCTCTTGCTTTACCTGTGTCAGACTAAGGTGTTATGTCTTATGGGCTTGGGACAGAAGTTACACACACCTAAACCTGTTCAACTGATCAGAAACTGATTTAAACCTGTAACAGAACAGAAGTTCAGTGTGTGGCGGGCCAGTAGGGGGCGCTCCTGCGTTGAGCCACCC